GCTCCTAACAAAAAAGTACACTCGTGCATACATACATGCAAAGTATAAAAACAGGACGTCACTAATTGTTGCTGGGTATTTTTATATCCATACTATTGCGGAAACATAGTCAGTGATAACCCTAATTATGTCCTCTACGTGATTTTGTTTATCTCTGAAGTTATCACACTTCATTATTAGTTTTGAAGTTATTTTGAGAAGTTTCTTATTAAGATCGCCTCAATTTGCGTTTTTTTTATTCTCGATATTTTTCCTTTTTGATAATTTGTTATGTTTACTGCAATAACAATAAAAAAGTGTAGAAAAAAGTCGCAATTTTAGATAACTAAACACGTAAGGACAACTTGGAGAAGAAAATTAAAACTGAAGATGAGCACACGCGGCGACTGATTGAGGGGCAATGCTTTATAATAGGCTAATATTTATATTCAACCTCAACATTGCGAAGGAAATTATTTTTTTTTGTGAATTTATTTATTTATTAATTTATTTATTTGATCAGACAAAGGGACATTTTGTTATTTGTTGACCCTGAATTTATTTTCTTATTAGCTGAGGTCCAAGCAATAAGCTTAACGTGTTCGCAAACAGTCTTATCTCGCGCGTATATGGGAAGAGTGAGGCTTTGATCATAAAACGGAGCTTTTTCGTGTACCAAAGTCACATGTCCAATATACCCAACTGGCATGATGTGAATTGACATATTTTCCAAGAACGCTTCAGGCAGTGAGAAGTTAACTTGTGACGAGGCGGAGAATATGAAATAAAATGGCCACAGTGACGCCAGTAAAATATTCCTAGAGCTCCAACCTCGCGATGTATTGATGGCATGTGATCTCATCAATTCATTAATTGGGGTACGACAATACTCAATAGGTTAGTTAGCACGCGGGAATCATTCTGAAATGTACGGAACTTGAAAAACAGGATAGCCGCGACGCGGCAGCTCCAATAATTTATGTATCCCAGAAGGCAATCCCTTCCGAGTCTCTCAACTGCGGCTTGAGGCCAACAAATCCATCGTGCCATTACATCCATCGAGCAATTACGCACATATCCGTGCTGTTACATCCACCGTGCCCGTACATTCATATTGCAGCACATTCATCGTGCCATTATCTCTATTTATGGCCAGTTCGTCCAACGTGCCATTACATCCATCATGCAGTTACATCCATCGTGTCATTACGTCCATCGTGTCATCGCATCCATCAAGCGGCTTCGTCCAAAAGCGTGCCATTACATTCATCAATCAAGCAGGTTTACTTCTTCGCTTAACTATGCTGCATAATAGTTCACATTATTTTGAAGAGTTATATGCTAAATTGAAGCTACAAAAGCAAGTAAAAGGATCCTTTGTGCGTCATGCACTTTCTACGGCCCTCGGCATCTTCGAAGTAAAACACGCATCGTTGGCTCGTTGTTTGTTGTTTCCGCATGATCAAACTTTAGTTACTGCTTTTTTCATTCTCAAAATTAGCTAACTATAAACTTATATAAACAAAATTAGCTAACTATAAACTCTATTATAGAATTAGAACGGTACAAATAATCACACCTTTTATTTCGCTCTGAGAAACAAAATCTGAATGCCTTATAGAATTTAATTATGTTATGCTAGAGTGCTGGGGCTTACAGTTTGCTACCTGTGGCTCCCGAATCCATGCTAAAAGCAAGTCGTCTGCTTCTTGCACAGGGGTTGCGGTGATGTCAGAAAGACGCCGAGCTTTGATTAATGGGTAGATTTCAAAGCAAGCTGTCTTGAGATCTACCCACTATCTTTCACTCAGAAGCAGCCACAGCTCGGCGTTCTGACGTCACCACAACCCCTGCAAAAGAATTAAACGAAATTGCTCTCCGCATAAGAATGTGAATAACACAAACAACCCAATGGCGGCCATCATGGTCTCTGGTCACGATGGATTTAATGGCACGCTAGGCGTAGTAACAGGAAGGATGAGCAGTTACATCCATCGAGCAACTGCGCCCATCGAGCAAGTGCACCCAACGAGCAGCTACATCCATACACGTTTCCACATATCCAACGAGCTAGTATATCCAGCGTGCTATAACATTCATTGATGGATGCAATGGCTCGGTGGATGTACTGGCGCGATGGATGTGTTAACACGTAATCCTCAGCTGCTACTGAGGCTTTCATAAAGAGCTTTAGTTTCATGGCGGTCTGCCAAATACTTGCCTCACCAAACGAATAAAATAATATTTCTAGCTGTAATTAAAGTGCCTGCGAGTTCCAATTCGGCGGTGTCTTTGTTCTTAGTGGTTCTTGGGTTTGTTTCTGTTATCAGTGAGCATAATAAATTTTAGACTATAAATAATGTGAATATAAGTAACGCCCCTCTAAAATTAAATACGTCCTAGTCTTACAACGTGATGTGATAAATGTTTTTTTCTGTTTTTTTTTCGGAAGTTCATCTGAAAATATGCTGTGGATTAGGTACAAAATAAACATATGAGAAGTAAACCACTACTATACTTTCGCGTTTTAGTATACTATTTATTGAAGCAAGGGTTCTGAATATTCGAAGAAAAAGTGGCTAATCACGTTACATAAAATTCAAATAATATGAATTCAACTGCACTTATATTAAGAACATAAGTTTCACGAAAGTTCGTAAGAAAACTCTTTTATAACGCTTGATTGAGATTAATAGTTTTGTCTCTCCTGAACACGCACTTGCTGTGAACTGTTGTGTGAAAATTTTCTTACACATATTTATTTTGTGGCGGCTTATCAAAGAAAGCGAGACAAATCTTTCTCCTTAGAAGTTATTATTCAGTGGAACGCTCATTACTCACAGGTTGTTTGCTGCATGGAAACAATCAAGAAATATCTCGGCGTTTTAGTTTTTTTATTTATTTATTTATGCACATACCTACATCGCCCAGGGGGCATTATTGTAGGGGGGTTACATAAAAGAAAATACATGACAAATAAGTGAAATAACAAGAAAGCCTAAAGTAACATAAAAGTTCCAGATACCTATTGGAAACAAAAGTTTTGTAAAACTTTTGTTTTACGTGATGATCACCAAGCCACTCTCGTATAGAGATAATACCGTATAACTATGTTGGAAAAAATTTACAACCGTATATATTGTATATTATATTTAAAAAAGCTAGCCAAGGAAAAACACGAACTGAAATTTATTTCACGTGACGTGCAAATGTGTTGAAATATGAATAACAGAAATCCGTAATCGCTTTTGAGACTGCGGGTGCACCGACTGCTACAGTGCAATAATATCCGGGTTCTTGGAGCCATGGGGTTCCCTATATCCCTATGTAGGACTAGCTTTAAGCAGGCCGTGGGAGTCGTCGTCACCAAGGGCGGCGGCTACCCGGATACGAGGAACCGAGGCCGTGTTCCCCGAAGAGGAAGGCTTTTTCTGGCGCACGTAGGGTGAATGTGCCGCAGGCGCACCATTGGAAGTGATTGTGGACGCGACCCGTTCTCGGATGACCTATTACCGGCCTCCCCGGGCGCGCCCACATTCCGGCAAGCTACATAAGCCGGCCCGGAAGGAGGGCCGGGGGCTCTCGTCGGCAAAGTCCCTGGCTTTACCAAGCTCGGATTTTTTTTTTTTTTTTTTTTGTGGGTTTCCGACTTTTCGTGAATCTGTCTATTACGGCAGCGCGGGATACCGGCCGGGTGATACTGGCAATTGAGTCAGCGCCAAGACTTTTTGTGTCTAACAACAAAGCGTGTTGTCGTTTGAGTCAATTAACACGTGGGAAATGGACTCAATGCGTTAGTGTTGTCCCTCGTCCAGCGGTTCCCAAAAAAGGCAGTCAAGTGACGGATCTGGCCGCAGCCGCGCAAGGAGCGGACTACAGAGTCAGAATTTACCTCAATGAGGACTTTGGGATAAAGTTGGCAAACCCACAGGGTTTAAACATTCAGGGCACAATAAGGTAAACTCCCATCGTCGAGCATATTTAGGTCTGGGTATTATTTCGAGGGAAACACAGCAGCGCTGAAAAACCTAGAAGTTATATACGTGAAACTAAACTTTGATTGAATATTTGAACACGGTGAACGTGAACCACTTTCGAAATTGTGACGTTGTGCAGTGAACAGTACAATTCAAGATGTGGCAGTACCGTGAAAGCTCTGGAGTTATCAGAGAGTTTTAGGAAACCATTTTTGGCTCATCCGATACGATACGATGTGCACCTAGGTACGCACTGCGCATGTGTGTCTTCTGCGGTAGTACAACCTCAGTTCGTACCGGAAGGGTTATCGTGCAGTATGAGATGTGCAATAACGGTTCCCTTAAACTAGAGAGTTTTCGTAGGCCGCGTTTCCTCCTCCGCTAAGCCATTCGCAACGAAGAAGTCGCTACTCCGCCTGCGCGCCGATGGCCTTCACTGTAGAGTTCTGGGTATCGTAGTGGGTTGTGGAGAGCATTGCGGGAAATAGGAAATGTTATACGAAAACTCCCTACTATCTATCACCTTGGCGTATCACGGCTACTGCGGCAAATACAAACAGTTCCCTGGAGGGCACAACCGTATTCACTGGCCTCTCCTGGAATGGAAAAGTAGTACCTACTGAGCATGCTGTTATCGCTCTTGAACCAGTGAAGGTGCGGCATTAGCCAAGAAGAGCGCCGAAGAAAGTATCTAGAGGTAATAAGCTTGAAAATAATAAACCATTCCAGTTGTGAGTAACCGTAGAACAACATTATGGCGTCATTATTCATTGGAAGCTCAAAGTGCCTAACTCCGTTTGAAATTACACAAAAGTGTTCTCTTCTCGAATAGCTAAAGCGCTTCATGTGGAGTGGTGTAATCAGTCGCTTATCACTGCATAAAGATGACACTCGTTCGAGTTGACCTAAAGATATCGAAGCTCCATTGAAACCATCATGCGATATTCCCAAGGGAAAACACAGTACTGTCTCCGCGATATTTCGCAAGAAATGATGCATTTAATGTGCACCGCTTATGCTGAGAACCGCCATATCGTATATAAAATAGATCAAGAACACAGATGTACGTATGTCTCGTCGTTTTAGACATTTACTTCGTAATTTGGGCAGCACCTGAATTTAGTTCTTTCTAATATTTATGCTGATGATTGCTTTTGCTCGATAAGATTTGGGTGACATTTTTTTTTCTTACATTTTGACGCTGCAATGAAGCATGTCTGATTAATGTTTTATGTGACTATAGTTGCATCCTTACCTCAGTAGACAAAGCATGCCAAGTTTAACAAAATTTTTAAATGTATACACCCGTATTCACTGGGCGCGAGTAGCGCTGTTTAACCACTGACTACTGACGTCATTGACTAAAATGATCACGTGGCGAGCGATGGTAACCGCTAAGTGAGTGCTTGGTATTCACCGGTCGTGTTTAGGGCCTAGTCGCTCCGCGCGACTAAGAAGTCGACTAACAAATCTTAGTCATGTGGTAGGGATAGTTTAGCCGGTGTTTAGCGGGTGACTAGCGGCTCAGCGCCATGGCCAACTCGTATCACCGCTGACCGCCAGCGCTAACGAAGCACCCACTAGGGAGTTTTCGTGGATCGCTTTCGCCGTCCCGCAACGCTCTCCGCAACCCGCTACGATACTCAGAACTCTACAGTCAAGGCCATCGGCGCGCAGGCGCAGTAGCGGCTTTTTCGTTGCGGAGGGCTTAGCGGCGGGGGAAACGCGGTCTACCAAAACTCCCTACTGTCTCGGAACACTGGGGGAGACATCTAGAAAGAATTAAAGGTGCAAACATTGTGTAAATAACCATGTTCAACGGTCACAGATACCGCTAAAGAGATTTCAGGAGGCTGCTGGACGACGAGAAAAAACACATTTCCAGGCGCTTCCATATTTGTTTATGTCGCTGGCAATGCGTCTTCCGTGTTTCTCCATTGAGTTGTTTTTGAATTTGCCTTTGTAAAACTCTGTCGCACACAATTAGGCTCTCATTGTAACTTTTTTTTTCGTGATTCAAATTTAAATCTTAGTTTTTATACGATAAATACCCAGGTACGCAGTGGCGTTTAAATATGAGTATGCGTGACCTACCTTTTTACGTCACTTCCGCTTCTTAGTTCTGGCTAGATAGTCACCCGCTCTCGCGCTCGTGAATACCGCAGAACTACTCGGTACTTAGTCGCTGATTTTTGCTCTTAGTTCGCTACTATTTAGACGCGATACTAGTTTTAAAACAGCGCTAGTTAGTCACGACTGGTGAATACAGCTGATAGGGTTCAAAAAATGTTAATATAAATATAAGTTAGTGCTGTTGCCAATGTGGTCAGAATTGTTTTACTATGGCTAGGTTGTTTAGGGTTACAATGATCAAGTTGTGGTAGTTTTAATGCTGCATGCCTGTTCAATAATTCGTTTTTATTTGTAATAGTGTACATAGAGCAGCAATCAGTTGAGATGTGTATAACGAATTAAGCTGTCTAATTTTAAAACGTAAGATTTCTTCTTTGACTCCAGAATGAAAGCTTCAAATAGTTGCCTGCACATAAAAAATATGCCAAAGCACCAAATTTTACTGACTATTTAATAATAAATATGAAATATACTATTACTTGTTCGGCATTGCAAATTTGTGTTGGTGGCTAAATCTGACTAACGGAATACTCGAAGCGTTGATGCTAAATACCTGGGGTCTCAAACACGCGGCCCGCTGGCCGCATTCTGCCCACGACAATCTAGGATGCGGCCCGCAAACATCCCGCGGTTGCAAGCACCCGTTGCCATGCTACGAGCGCCGCATGCGCTATAAAAAGTAGTTTTATATGTTCGATTCATTATCGTCAAAAACGAAGTCTGCTCTCTTCACGCATTTCGCACTATTTTGTTTTTATTTCTTTAACCATGTATTCCTTGGTGAAAATACTTGCTTCTCAGCCCTTTTCCTTGTAAATCAACCGGAATGACATTACCAGTAGTAGTGTATACAAGTGTGAGCTCTTTGCTCAAGAAGGCACCTCGGCGGCGTAAACTTTTTCACAGCAGGAGCAACTGCCAAAGAAAAAGCTATGAGCTCGGGTTTCTAGCTGTCAGAGAATACCTTTAATAAGAAAGTATTTTGCTAAGATGCCTATATAAAACTTTAAAAAAAAAACTCACGCGTGAAGACATGTTTTTATACCTGTTGATCCTAGAGAATTGTGCTACAGGGCAAGGGTAGTTTGACTGCTGAATTATATTCAAAACTGCCAGTGTACTCTATTATGGTAGCGTTTTAAATCTTTTTATAACATGAGGTGTGGGCCCAAAGTAGTCGCGTGTGCAAATAAGCGCTAGAAACGGCAAAACGATGTGCTTACAATAAGCATAAAGTTCCTTGTAAAAAAAAACCAAAAAACTCCGGGGTGTTGCTGAAACAGTCAGCTGCTTTGACACGTGAAACACCAATGTTCTTTGTTGTTTACCTGTTTGTCCCAAAATAGCAAATGTTGGCCCCCTCCTCTGCTGGACCTCGTCCCTTCTGAGGTTGGCTGTCTTGTCGCCACACTCGAAGGAGTTTCAGATCCCTGGTATATACCCTCCAAGGCAAAGAGTTATCACCGTGCGAAACGTACTGTCAAAACAACAGACCACAAAGTCGAAGCAGAGGGCAGAAACCACGTGGTATATAGATGCGATCAGAATTTTGAAGGTATACGCCATGTGGTTCTGACTGACTCCTAGTTGGACGTGGCGTCCCATAGTTTTGGTTGTAGTCAATGCTAGGGTGAGGAGAAGTATAATCAATTTTTTTACTAGTGTTATTATGTTTCACAGATATTCAAGCTAATTGATTTGTAGATTATTTTCTTCTAAAGGTGTTTGTGTTGGTCGCTCTTGTCTCACGTATTTGTATATCAAATCATAAATACATTTCTGGGAAACAAGATTACATCTTCTAATGAGGCCACTTAGAAACGGTATGGTTAGTTAAACTTTATCCGGGTTCCCTTTAAAAGGTTGACAACTAAAACCTCATTTGAATATATATTCCTTAGACCATTTTAATTTGTCTCAGAACCCTCGTCTTTTCTTAATACGCGTTACATAGTGAAAAAATTGCAAGTAATGTAATAACAATTGTATAAAAATAATACTATATAATCGCACTCTAAATATGTAAATTGGAAGTCTTGTTTTGTGGAACTAACCTCTAATTTAGATGGTACGCATATTGTTAAGGAAGTAAAAAAAAATATTTCTACTATCTTGACTGTACGGGTATAGACAAGAAAGCAAAGCTTTCAGCAATGTTCCACGAGAGAGTAAGAGCAGTGACACAGGGCACAATGGCTAAGCACCTGCTTGCAGGCACTTACTTTCGATTTGTTGATTTTGATTTGTTGTTTTGTTTTAATTTTAGTTAGTATTGATTTTTATTTGTTGATCTAAGCGTAATAACTATTTAAAACCAATTTTTTGAAGATCTACCATATATACGCACAAATTATTATTTCCTATACTAGAACACGAATTTGATTTGTTTCATTTCGAGTGTTGGAATTTTCAATGTTGACGCCTTGTTCTATCATGCACAAGCCTCATTCTATATTTGGTGCCTAAATTAGGGTCTATAATTGCTGAAAGTCAAACATATGTAATGAGTGATAGGAATGTACAACGCAATGATGATTATTTTGTCTTGGTCTTCCAGCTACAGCACTTCTATTATGCAAACCAGCAAGCCACTCATACTGCTCTTATTAGGAGCGTGGGCATGTAAGTATGAATGTATAAACTCTAAAGTTAATTTTTTTATGTTTATAGTGAGGGACATCCTAAGCAACGCAGCGCCTTATTAGACTATAAGAGTGCCAAGGAGCAAATCACGAAGCATGTAGTTTGAGCATACAAGCCGTATGTTTTGTTTCTACTCCTAGTGAGAAATGGCATCACCAGACCACTCGGTACACACATAAAAATTGTTCTGATGTCGCCGAATGACGGTGTATGTTCAGCCTCTCCTGCTGTTACCGGTTCGCAACACACTCCACAGTATGCATAAATAATAAACCACGGCATGCTTGTACTAGTCGTATTCGATTGGGACGATTATATCTGCATATATGCACTATATAAGCACTAAAACAAAAAGTTGATAAGTGAGGCGCATGAATTGCTTGGAATTTGCATCAAGCCTAAAATTTGGAGGAACAATATTCGCTTGGTATTCAGCGAAGTTACGCCCAGTTCAGACAGCAATCAAGAAAGCCCCTTTAAAAGAGGGCAAGCTTAGTAAGCGCACGCAAGGCAATACTAGGCTGTTTTGAACGTTCTGAACTTCCCCAATACATGTCTAGATAAAGAGAGATAATCGCATGCAGACTATTTATATATAGAGTGAGAGAGTAACGTTAATGTCTCCGCTTATAAATATTTTCAAAATACCTTGGAAGTACACGAAAAGTCATAATATGTAAGGTGTTTTTGTAGACTTACCGCATATGTTTCAAACCGCCGTGAAAGATACACAATGCGGTCCACGTTGGTGAGTTACACGCCAAGGCAGACATTATATTTGCCTAATCATCACGCTAAGTGAAATCACGAACTAAAATTTGGTAATTCGCTTTTTCATAAGTCAATGGAAACATATGGTTTTCATTACAAACTTGCACTACACACAGAAAACGTACACAAAAAAAAATCATAGTATATAGGGTGTTTATGTAGACTTAACGCATATGTTTTGAACCGCCGTGAAAGATACACTAATGCGGTCGGCGTTGGTGAGTTATACGCCAAGGGAGACATATTATATTTGCCTAATCATCACGATAAGTAAAGTCATGAACTAAAATTTGGTAATTAGCTCTTTCATTAGTAAAAGGAAACATATGGTTTTCATTGCAATCTTGCACTAAATGAATAATATCTGAATGGCCGTTTAACTTTAAATTATAGAGGCATTTTGGAATAGCCGTATTCGCGGAAATGTCTATTAGAAGCCACAGCAATTTAAGGCTTTTCCGAAAAGGTAGTGGTGTTATGGCTAATATTCAATCATTTTTTTTATTTTCTCCTACAATATAAAAATTGCGCCCCAAGAGAGCGCCGCAAGCCTTGCCGACACTGCACCAATTAATGATGACATGATTGAAATACCTACGTCACCCTTTCACGCGTGATTGTGGGAAGGGCTAGCTCCACTCGGTTCGAGTGCAATTGTCTAATAATGAAAAAAATCGCAGCTATAGAACAATTAATATCTAAAAAAAAACCTCCTGTTTTTCGGTTGTTTTAAATTGTTCTGGCCAGTAATAGTTATCACCGTCGATAATTAAATTCTAACATGATCCCTAATTATGATATTTAAGAAGATTATTTGCAGATTTGAGCGTATTATCCAACTTAACATGACGATTACCCCCGTATCTATGTTTGCCAAACGTGATAAATACACGGTGAAGATCACATTTGCCTAAGTTTCAAGCCCTTTTATATCGAAATCTGTTTGAATTTAAACCGAGCACCCTGTATATATGCCCTACTATTCATCAAGTCAAAAAAGTGTATTAAGAACACACTACTTTCATCTAATTTGTTTCTTTCCAATATACCAGTTTGGAAATACAACCCATTTATGCATTAACCACATTTTATGTTCACTTTTGTTTACCTTAGACAACAAATTAACGGAGCTCTTTGTACAACAACTCAGTCTAAGGTAACAATATATCTACATTCTAATTATAACAAAATATTGGAATGTATATGATACCAAAATTATTGAACTGATAACTTGTTTTTCAAGTTTTTAGCTTTTTGTACTTTTAATTCGTTCTTTTTTGTCATAAATGTTACTCCGTCCGCCTATGGGAATTTTCATTGTCCCTCCTTTCCTATCACTACATATTACAGGCTTCGCCTAAAAAAACAACTGAGGCACACATAGAAAAGGCTGAACATAAACGGTAATTTTTCATTTAAGAGAGCATTGAGTCAGAATATGCAACTTTAATGATTGATGTACATCGTGTGCATCTTTGTACGTCCCGGACTGCTCGACTGTCGATCTGATCAGATCGCTAGAGCGAGTGTATTAAAAGCAAATACAGATGCTCATAAGATAAGTCTCATACCGGGTGCTTGAACTATGACCAGGTGGCTGCATTTGTAGAATGCAATATCCGTCAGAAAACAAAAATGGTAACGAGAAGCAGAGATTATGGTGTTTTTGAGCTCATCTGGGAAGCAAGAGTGCGACGAGTGTTGTAAACTACCCAAAACTACGTAGGTGCAAATTGAAAACTTTGTACCTTATGAGTGATTAGGTTAGACATAAAGCTGCTTTCACTTAATTTCAGCTGTAACATTATATCAGGTAAGATTGCAAGTCACCTGCAACTTTAGATAATGTGTATGTATAATAAAATAAATTACAAAAACCTCAAAAGACACAAAGAGAAATTCCAATGGTGAACTGAAATTACGAAATGGAAAATGTGGCTTAGAGATTTATAAGAAAACTGCTTCTTTCATCCCCTAAGAGGCCAAAACAACAGAGCATAAGTTTCACACTGTTGTACCTCTTAGCACTCTTGCGTACAATGGCTGCCGCCGTAAGCGAGGAGTACACCAAGGTTGACCATTTTCACAAAAAAAATGTAGCTTATAAACAACCCTATTGTTAGTTGACCAAAATTAAAAAGTGCCCTAGACAAACGAGTTGTTGGTCTGCCGAGATGAATTTGAAATTACGAGATTTGTAATTTCATAACAATCTCAATGTTAGATCCTTTCGGATAAATCGGAATCAGCGCAACATTTACCAGAGTGATTCGTTTTCAGGGTTTGCTCAAAAACGCAGAATCGCACATATATGGTTCACTTAATGATCGCCACCCCTTCTCCTGTCATAATAGTCGTGGTAACACAAGCATCGCACTTAAAATACATTTCCAACGTTGACGTGTTGGAATAATGTAATAGTTGTCTTATAACATAATGTCTATCTGGCATATTGATTGAGCTTTACTATAACGCTACGAACTCTAAACATTAGGAGACAACGCCTCTTATTACCATTAACAACATGTGTATTCTACCGAGAATGGATGATAAATCTTTTATATTGTGATTTTTTAAAGATATAAGTGCCATCTTCAATCAAATATATCGCATTTTCAAAATGCCCTAATCCTATCTTTTTTACTGGCATTCTTCAGGTTGTGTGAACACGTGAGTATTCATCCTGACCTATTTTTTTATTAACACCTTAGAACGTGCACTCTTCATAAAGACACGACTATGCAACAAAGGAGTCTATCGTCGGTTCGTACAAAGGCAAGAATTTACGGAAATGTAATAGGGCGAAGTTTTTTTCTGAAAATCTTGCTTTTGTTTCAATTGAAGTATATTTATTTTGAATACCCAGAAACGCGACACAGTAGAAACAATCAGTAGAAAAACAAATTATGTTACTACCAGAATTAGCAAGTCTGTTTAATCATTAAGCGCGTCGAAATTGCAAGCTCATTGTTATGGAAACCTCACGATACATAAAAAGTTAAATTAAAAGGTGTTCTTGTTGTTTCAAATAGGATAGTGTTGAAACATTGCGCAGGGTACCACACAAAGAGAGCTGCATGATGTAGAACGTAAATAGTTAACAAGAGATATTGAAGCGAACTGGAGCTTGGGCGAAAACCTGCAGCACTTAATTTGAGTTTTGTGTACAAGGAGTGTGGTGTGATATAAGTCTTACTGTCATTTCAAATTCAATGGCGTGTAATACGAGTTTTTTCTTAAATTTTTATGTAGTCGTGGTTGCGTTCATAAAATGTAATAGTTAGAAACGAGGATTTTCAAATGCAAAAAATCGTCTAAAACTCAATCAAAATGCCATATCACGGTGCTTACTAAAAGCGAAAATAGAAACGAATCAAAGCTGCCATAATCTGTTTTCCTGCATCAAATGCATCGCTCTTGGTGTCTTTGCAAAGCAGTGCGTTGTAACTACACACTCGTATCGCTGATATTGTGACTGTGTATACAAAAAAAAAAAACGAACCGGTGAGTGGGATAGTTGTGTGGCCGTAATGAGCTTGTACTGGTTGCATTTCACTAATAATATGTTTGATTTGCTGATATGAGAGGGCGAGATATACAAACGTATTTTTCGTTCTACTTGATAAATGGACAACAAAGGTGTACAAAAATGATCTGTGGTGCTAGTTACCTCACTGTAATTACAATAAAAAAACGCGAAAGTATATTGACAGCCAAACCACACTAAAAGAAGTCGTAGAGTATTTGAAGTACGGTTTAGAGCATCCGAAATTATTGCTTAATCATATTGTCAACACCAATGCGATCAATTTATACTGTATATTTTATTGAAATCTTACATCTGGTGTTTGCGTATAAGAAGTAATGAAACCGCACAACCATTATTTTCAGCACGTTAACGCAACTCTCATTAAAACGAACGGAACACTACCTCATTGCTAAAAACCGGATGAAGATTCGAGCAAAATTTACAACATGAACGAAAAGGTCTAAGGATATAGTAAAGAGCTCAGTCGGATGTCACAGTGCTTCCATTGAAGCGCATGAAACCAATTTACTTAAAACTTCAGTGTTTAGGTGGTTGTAACTAATATTTCTAAGAAACTAGGACTTTGCATGGAAACCGACATCACTTAAAGGGTACAGATGGCACCATTTAAAACTGCGCTGTTGACTATTCTTATTACTCGTGGTGACAATGGCTTCTAAACAAAACCACTAAATAGTTTTCAAGTGGACTCTGCAAAAGTGTAAAATGGCTTTAAAATAGAACTTTTCCTTTTTTTCTTTTAAAGAGTTCAGTCAAAACATATAGGTGCTGACAGTGATCCCTCACAGGGTAGGTGCCATTTTTGCAAATATGACTAATACTATATTTATCTGGGGGAGCTGGAAAGCGAGAAGAACATCGTCTATTGCGCTTAACCGCATTTTAGTTCCACAGCTCACAAGCCTCCTTCAAATCTCAACGGAGCGTTCTCATTATTATTTTGATACAAATGTTGCGAAGGCTGAAGCTTGGGCGAGTTGGTTCGACATACTTAAAAAATAAAAACAGCGCGAAAAGACAACGGACTGGATGAAGGATGAGACAGAGAGAACGCTGTTTTTTGTTCTGTTTTGATTTTTTTAATTATTTTGACTCAAAAATAGTCTAAATGTCTTAGCTATGAGAAATACATTGATTGTGTTTGATTACAGATTTTTATTTTACACAGGTTACTTATAAACTGATCTTTCTAATGTAAACTACACTTTTAAAATACAATATTTGGTGTAATGCGTAAGTCCATAAATTAAGAAATTATCGTTTATCGGATTAACATCAATTCCCTACCTCTATCAGTTCAAATCATCTAGGTATGTACAAAAAAGAAGTAGTCGTTTTTGCTTGGACAAGGTGAGGTAATTCAGCATTTCAGGTGTGTTGCCACTGCTTGGAGCTGTAGATAAGAACTTTTACCAGTGCAGTACGACTGCTAGCATTGGGTTCTTAATGTGCATCACGCAGTAGTGATACAAAAGCGCACGCCGCTCCGACGCTCTTCCAGTTCAAAATTGGAATGGATGGGGGTTGAACACAGCGTTCCATGGATTATGCGGCTGAAGTTTTCGATATACGTGACCCGCGCTGGGGTGTGCTATCATATTCAATCCCCGATCATTCTCTAACCTAACCGTATTGACGCGTCCGGTACAGATATCGTGCAATCCTCGAATAACGAAATGGGCAACACCTTGGGCAACCACGGAGACTTCGAACGTGCAAGATATGCCCCAGAAAGTGAAGAGCAAGAAAAGGAGTCCAAATCATTTCCAGCTGCCAGGAGGGACCTACCATTGAGGGGCTTCAGCGAAGCGGACGATGACGGGTCGGAATACGGAACACAGGAGAAACTCCGTAGCTCAAAGAACAAGGCCGACAAGTTCGGACAGCTGATTGCACATGCGTTTATCACCAAACACAGTGAATAAAGGCACATTCTTGTTGTCAGAAATCTTAGTAATGTGTGTTGAGTAGTGTTATATATACTGAATTAGAAAAAGTCTTAAAGTCGAAGAAAAGTTTGTGGGCAACCTGGCGATTCCAAGCGGTTGGCCCAGGTTGCCCCTCCGGTAATCATATGTGGTCATCTTGACCACGAGGGGGCCAAGGGCAACTGGCCACGCGAGCGGCGCTCCGCCGCTGATAAAAGGCCGTCGCAGCGGATGCGCGGGGGCTGTTGGGATCGCGGCGCAGGCGATAGCGCTCATTAAATGTTTACGTGTTGTTGAACCGGTGTGCTGTGTCATTCTATGAGACGGGTAGCAGCAAGGGAAATCCCACACTGGCGCCCAGACGTGATATGCTGCTCGTCTGAAAGGATGACAGCAAACTGGGTTCCTTCTTACGTTTTATATAGTCAATTTTGCGTTCCTGAGTTTGCCCACAGTTGAGGGGGCGTTTCTTTGCAAGCCTAAGTTCATCCACCTGCGGACGTCTCCACTACAACACGATGCCGTCTACAGAGGACGCTGACAGAAACGTGAGTGAGGACGACCTTTTGACGCTCGGTGCACTCCCGGATAACGCCGCCAGCGACATAAAACCAGACGCTAAGCCTGCAGTCTCAGTCCCGGCAGGCGCATCATTAGAGGGTGGTCCAGCAGAACTAAGAGAGGCCATGACCATGCTTCTTAACATACAACGAGAGCAGATGTTGCGCTCAAGCCCCACTCCTGCTGGAAGCATGCCCCCCAGGGACTTCCTAAGGCTCTCGCTTAGCGTTCCGGTTTTTTCGGGGTACGCAGATAGAAAGTCAGTCGCGATGTTCGTCTCGGAACTGCGGGACTACCAAGCTGCGTCGGGAATTGACGACGAAACCATCCTCACCCGCCTTTTGCCGGTTGCACTGACAGACAGTGCAGCACTGTGGAGGCAAAGACAAACTAAATCTACAAGTATGTCAGATTTTAAGGCACGATTTAGAACGGAGTTCCTGCCTCCGGATTACAGCGTGCGGATTAAGGACGAGCTGCGCGCGCGCACACAGCACCCGGAAGAGTCACTTATTGAGTTTGTAAGGGCTCTCCAGGGCCTGTACAATATCGCCGACGCCGCGGCACCGGACGCGGAGAAAGTACAACGCGCCATCCGCCAAAGCCACCCACGTTTTCATCCCCATCTCAGGGGACAGACACTTTTCTATCGACCCTCGGTGGCCCTCCACCACTTTTTCTTCCTGATAACACTCTCCGTTGTGAGACTCCCGGCGTGTCCGATTTTGCATGGACACCGGGCGCCCAGCTCACAGCGTTCGCGGTGTTGAGACTCCCGGCGTGTCTGCTCTCGCATCGACAACCGGGCGGCCAGCTCACAACACTTTCCGTCATGAGACTCCCGGCGTGTCGGCGTTCGCTTTGACACCCGGGCGCCCAGCTCACACCGTTCGCGGTCTTGAGGCTCCCGGCGTGTCTGCTCTCGCATCGACAACCGGGCGGCCAGCTCATAACACTTTCACTCTTCGTTGTGAGACTCCCGGCGTGTCCGATTTTGCATGGACACCCGGGCGCCCAGCTCACACCGTTCGCGGTCTTGAGACTCCCGGCGTGTCTGCTCTCCCATCGACAACCGGGCGGCCTGCTCACAACACTTTCCGTCATGAGACTCCCGGCGTGTCGGCGTTCGCTTTGACACCCGGGCGCCCAGCTCACACCGTTCGCGGTCTTGAGGCTCCCGGCGTGTCTGCTCTCGCATCGACAACCGGGTGGCCAGCTCATAACACTTTCACTCTTCGTTGTGAGACTCCCGGCGTGTCCGATTTTGCATGGACACCCGGGCGCCCAGCTCACACCGTTCGCGGTCTTGAGACTCCCGGCGTGTCTGCTCTCCCATCGACAACCGGGCGGCCTGCTCACAACACTTTCCGTCATGAGACTCCCGGCGTGTCGGCGTTCGCTTTGACACCCGGGCGCCCAGCTCACACCGTTCGCGGTCTTGAGGCTCCCGGCGTGTCTGCTCTCGCATCGACAACCGGGCGGCCAGCTCATAACACTTTCACTCTTCGTTGTGAGACTCCCGGCGTGTCCGATTTTGCATGGACACCCGGGCGCCCAGCTCACACCGTTCGCGGTCTTGAGACTCCCGGCGTGTCTGCTCTCCCATCGACAACCGGGCGGCCTGCTCACAACACTTTCCGTCATGAGACTCCCGGCGTGTCGGCGTTCGCTTTGACACCCGGGCGCCCAGCTCACACCGTTCGCGGTCTTGAGGCTCCCGGCGTGTCTGCTCTCGCATCGACAACCGGGCGGCCAGCTCATAACACTTTCACTCTTCGTTGTGAGACTCCCGGCGTGTCCGATTTTGCATGGACACCCGGGCACCCAGCTCACACCGTTCGCGGTCTTGAGACTCCCGGCGTGTCTGCTCTCGCATCGACAACCGGGCGGCCAGCTCACAACACTTTCCGTCATGAGACTCCCGGCGTGTCGGCGTTCGCTTTGACACCCGGGCGCCCAGCTCACACCGTTCGCGGTCTTGAGGCTCCCGGCGTGTCTGCTCTCGCATCGACAACCGGGTGGCCAGCTCACAACACTTTTCGTCATGAGACTCCCGGCGTGTCGGCTTCCGCGCCGACACCCGGGCGCCCAGCTCACACCGTTCGCGGTCTTGAGACTCCCGGCGTGTCTGCTCTCCCATCGACAACCGGGCGGCCAGCTCACAACACTTTCCGTCATGAGACTCCCGGCGTGTCGGCGTTCGCTTTGACACCCGGGCGCCCAGCTCACACCGTTCGCGGTCTTGAGGCTCCCGGCGTGTCTGCTCTCGCATCGACAACCGGGCGGCCAGCTCATAACACTTTCACTCTTCGTTGTGAGACTCCCGGCGTGTCCGATTTTGCATGGACACCCGGGCACCCAGCTCACACCGTTCGCGGTCTTGAGACTCCCGGCGTGTCTGCTCTCGCATCGACAACCGGGCGGCCAGCTCACAACACTTTCCGTCATGAGACTCCCGGCGTGTCGGCGTTCGCTTTGACACCCGGGCGCCCAGCTCACACCGTTCGCGGTCTTGAGGCTCCCGGCGTGTCTGCTCTCGCATCGACAACCGGATGGCCAGCTCACAACACTTTTCGTCATGAGACTCCCGGCGTGTCGGCTTCCGCGCCGACACCCGGGCGCCCAGCTCACACCGTTCGCGGTCTTGAGACTCCCGGCGTGTCTGCTCTCCCATCGACAACCGGGCGGCCAGCTCACAACACTTTTCGTCATGAGACTCCCGGCGTGTCGGCTTCCGCGCCGACACCCGGGCGGCCAGCTCATTACACTTTCACTCTTCGTTGTGAGACTCCCGGCGTGTCGGCTTTGACACCGACACCCGGGCGCCCAGCTCACACCGTTCGCGGTCTTGAGACTCCCGGCGTGCCTGCTGTTGCAGTGACACTCGAGCGGCCAGCTCACAACACTATCCGTCATGAGACTCCCGGCGTGTCGGCTTTCACACCGACACCCGGGCGCCCAGCTCACACCGTTCGCGGTCTTGAGACTCCCGGCGTGCCTGCTGTTGCAGTGACACCCGGGCGGCCAGCTAACAACATTCTCGGTCATGAGACTCCCGGCGCGTCTGCCTTTGCACTGATCCCCGGGCGAACAGCTTCCACTGTTCCCGGTCCTACGCTACCCGAAGCAACTGCATTTGAGTTGGACCCTAATGCGATTCCCTTTTAGCCAAAGGCCGGCCCGATCCCCAGCGTCAGAGCCGCTTTGAAGTTCTCAACACCAAGGATGGTCGCTCTGGATACCCGGCCGCTAATGGACTCGCACCAGCCGACGGGGGTAGCAACAACCTCACTAAACGAGGAACCGACAGTGCTCCTCCCAGCTGTGAGTAGAATCGAATCTACACCCAAATATCTTGAACCTCGTATGACTGTGAATGTACTAGGTACACCAGTAGCCGCTCTTTTAGATACTGGGGCAAACATATCGCTTATTGGGGATGCTGTATTTGCTGAATGTAACAAGAGAAAGATACACCTTCGGTCAGCAAACGTGAAATTGCAAGTAGCATCGGGGTCCGTACTGCCTGCTGCCGGCGCAGTCAGGTTACGAATTTCCTTTCATGGTAGAAAACGAAGACAACGGTTCGTATACCTCCCGGAACTGCCGGGGCCCATGATCCTGGGTAGAGATTTTATTGCAGCGGAGCGGGTTTTTGCTCGACTTCGCCCAAGCTGGATATTGGTTGGGTGGCGAAACGAAATTAACGCCGTTTACCAGACGGCAGGATTGTATTCGCGGCCAAGCGTTCCCGTTAAACTTTGCCGGGCAGATGCCTTTACTTCCAGACAGCGTGCTCAAAGCCGTGCAAAAGTGTTCAGGTGAAGACAAACAGAAGCAGCTCCAGCAACCGCTGGAACCCTTCTCGCCGATGTACACGGAGAGACCTGGGAAAACCGATCTCCTACAGCACCGCATCGAAACCAAGGATGTACCTCCGCGGAGGTGCAATCCGAGACCCATAAGTGCTCACAAGCGCGAACTTCTTGATGCGGCGCTATTGGAAATGATCGACACAGGCGCAGTACGTCAGTCAAAAAGCCCGTGGGATTCCCCGGTGGTCCTTGCTCCAAAGAAGGACGGCACAGCAAGGCTTTGTGTTGATTACAGGCGCGTAAATGAATTATCAGTCAGAGACAGTTACCCGTTTCCTAGTATTTCCTCAGTAATGTATGCCCTTGGAAACGCGACTGTTTTCACAACCCTCGATTGCAGTTGCGGATTTCTTCAAATCTAAGTTCATCCGGCTGATGTAAAGGAGACCGCATTCATTTGCCATAGGGGGTTGTTCGAATTCACTCGCCTTCCCTTTGGTTTGTCCAACTCTCCCGCCAGCTTTCAAGGCCTAATGGACGTTGTCCTCGGTGACGCGAAGTACGAGTTTGCGATGGCGTACATGGATGACATAGTGGTCCTTTCACGAACATTCGAGGAGCATCTCGTGCACCTTCAGATCATACTCGA